ATTTGCATGAAAAGATCGGAAGGTCTGCAGTGCAGAGCAACGGGAGTGAGGGAAACTGTGGAGTCTAGAAATACCGAGCATTGCTTCAGTCAGTTCTTACCAGGGAATGTTTTGAAGTTTTTTTTATGGCGCCTTTAAAGCAGACCTAGGTACATCGATTAGTCTTGGACAGTGATTACAAATATGGACACTAAAACTGCTATACGAACTTTGTAAAAAAAAGTTGTGAGCCTTAAAAGTTGCAAAAGAACGCTAATGATGAGGTGCAACCTATGTGGAAACACGGTTGCTTTTTGCCTGGAACTTGTTCTATAAGGGTAAATGGGTGCCCTGATTACGAATATGAGACTCGTTTTTGGCGCAGAGCCACGGCGACTGTGATTCCACCAGGTAAGCTCGCCTCAGTAACGTTTTTTGCCAACTTTGAAGGCTCATAACTTTCTTAGGAAGTTCACGTAGCAGTTTTAGTGTCCATATTTGTAATCAGCGTTCAAGACTCTATCGATACATCTAGGTCTCCTTCAAAGTTCCATGGAATTAACACGTTGACGACAGCGTGACGCGGTAACGCGTCCCACTTTGCGCACCTCGTGGGACATTGTGACGCGGTAACGCGTCCCACCCAAGTCATCCCTTTTTCTTGCGCTTGTGCGACTTATTCCTAAGGTCTTTGTACTCATTCTATAGGTCATACATTAGCATACTTAAAAACCACATGGCTCACAGAAAGGCCAAATATTCTTTAGTTTGGCAGAGTTTTCCAGACCTTACGGATATGTCTGTTCAGTTCATTCCTCGTTTTCTTTTCAATAACGTACATGTTGATAAAAAGGAATAACAGAAGCGAATACAAACCTATTCGTATGGGAAGATATGTGTTTTTACTGAAACAACCACGTCCAAATTAATTTTGGAACCACTAAAGGGAAATTAAGTAAAATTTCCCTTTTCATGGCCTTAACACGTCATTTCGGTCAAACTTCCATTACTGTAACTCCTGATAAGCTAGACAGATCGAACATCATTGAAAACATTTCATCGCATCTGAGTATTGCGGATTTACAACTTAAAGCGAGAGATTACGATAAAGTGCGTATGCAGCGTGGAAGTACATGCACCATTGGAAGCAGTAGTCAGGGGCCCAAGGAAACGAAATGTTGCGTTTTTGTGGTCAAAGGTGCGCTAGTTGCAGCGTACAAGGCTTGCCATTCCTTTCTGAGCCCCGCCACGGTCTGTGCTCCGCCCCCAGCAGCAGCGCCCTTCGATTGCCAATGTGACGAGATATTCCACTTCCAGAGTGTATCCTATAACTTTTCATGGGATGCGTGATCAATCAAAGCATGATGCTTGCTGAAATGATAGAGGCTATCAGCATAACATGTGCAAACGACCTCCTAATTGGTTGCTAGCTCGTCCATTATCGGAGGTCAACGGGCAAAGAAAGGGGTCCCATTTTGCGCCTTCTTGACGGATTTCTTTGCTTTTTTCGCCACTGGGGCATTATTCAGCATCTCCACTTCCACTATGAACCCAGTCCAAACTTATCGTAATCCCTCGCTTAAAGGATTCGTAGTGGGCTGCGGCTCGCAAAATCGCTCTTGTCCCACGCGGCGTCTTTAAATGGCTTGGATTAATTATGGGAAACTGCGCGTGGTTTGTTGTTGACAGTTGTGTTTCTGAGGCAAAAGTCTTGTTCATAACCTTTCATTCTTGAGAAGCTGTGCATGTTATTATTGGCGATGTTTATGGTTAACGGCGCAACCTAGTGCTGGCTCCACAAAAGGCAGTTAGGTTCTAAATGTCTTATGAAATGATTAAAATTTATTTATTACTACAGGGTCCACGTATTGTTCGCCATAGTTTCTTCATGCAAAACTTCCGATTAGGCTACAAGCTAAAGCTGTTTTGTGAGGCTCATGGAATGCCGCTACCGGATCTACGATGGTATAAGGACGGTGTTGAAATTCGTACACGACCTGGAGTTCGGGTAGGTTTATTCGAAAAGCATTCTCTTCAAATTGCTTTACTGTCACCAAACGCTATGCATCGTGATGTCAACTAAGCTACCTTGACGACAGCGTTACGCGTTAACGCGTCCCACTCACGCCACACCCTTTACTTCCCGGAGTTCTTCCCAAACTGTTCTTATTTATTCTATGGATCACATCATAACCCACCCTCCTTTTAAAGAAGGAGCTCGAAGTAAATCCGGTTAGTAGAGGTTCTTAGTAGGCCGATGTCAGACTTTGCGAATCGCGCGATTCGCTAGCGTCTGCGGTCGCGTCGCGGCCAGTGAATCACTCAATTGGCTGGTACCGCAACGCGACCGCGGACGCTAGCGAATCGCGCGAATCGCTAGTAGCGAATCGCGCGATTCGCAAAGTCTGACATCGGCCTGATAGAGTGAAAACTGATAGAATACAACTGAACAGGCTAATCATTTCATAGGCAAAAAACATTTACATTTTGCGGAGGCCGTCGTCACTTGTGGTGTAGGTCTGCACCCAGCGCTCTTCTCGTTTTTGAAAGGGAGTATAACTATAAAGGGTGTGTAGCAACAGAATCGTCCGGAGACCCGCGCTTGTGGTCGCGGCCGCGACGTCGCGACTGTAGTGGACGAGTTGAGCGTCATTCGATTTGAATTTCAAAGGGACGCTAAGCCACTTCCTTCATCATAGAAGATATGGAAGTCGTCTGCGCTCAGCTACACTCGCCGAGCTGCCCAGTTTGTATTTGGTATTAATTGAGGTCGTTTCAATTAGTTTTGGACCTTTGATGGCTAAGGTTTTGGTAGAGTAATATTTTTGCTTCATCTTTCTTGCATTTCCGCTGCTTTCTGACAGTTATCGAGTTTTGATACCTTACCTATTTCTCCCGAATAGCAGTTTCGGAGTTTAATCTTCTCTACCGTCTTTCATTTTTTTGTACTTGTACCATTGTACTTCGAGCCTGAAACATATCCCATTCGCCAAGACACTATTTGCTACTCTGCATTGATAGACCTTAGTGACCTAGATTGGTTTTGATAGAATTTATTCATTCGTGGACCAATCGACAAAGTCCATTATTGCCGCGCCCATCGAAGAAGTGCCGCATTACGGCGCCGCGCAAGTAATCGCGCGCGACGGCGCCACTCGCGGAACGATTCTGTTATACGCTCCCCTTGGCGTCCATAACAGGAAAAAAGAGAAAAATTCGCCATTTCAACTCCATTGCACGATTTTTTGATCACAGTTCCACCGCTGTACATCCGAATAACTTCTACGCATTGAATACTGATGGAGTGGTTGTGCAGCTTGATTTCTGATTGCATGATATCAGCTATTGGGACTGACTGCAAGTGAACTCGTCTTGGTAACAGACCAGTCCAGAACCGGATGCAGGTAGCAACAAGGGATCCATTTTGAGTGTCCATTCAATCGTTCCGTTTTCGCCGGTTTACCTTGACTACCTCATTTCCAACAACGTAAAAAGCATTTATGCACCATCGCGCTCCTTAGAAACGAAGAAGCACATGATGAAAATAAAATGCTACAAGGAATTTCAAAACAATTATACTGAGTTGTAGGTCAAAATTTCTCCCGGCCAGGATTTGTACCCGAATTTCATGCTTTCCACGCAGCTGTACTACTAGTTATATCACCGCGCACCTTTTCACCCCAACTCGGCTTCGACGGCAAAGTTACCATAGCTTGTCAGTATTCACACGAGTAACGCGATGATCCAGTTAACCGACTTCGGCAGTAAACAGCAACGCTGGAAGCTCTATAGATTCTACCATTTTTGATTTTTTGTTTATTTCATGACGATGAAGATTTTTGACGATGTTTTTTATTGAATGCATAATGTTTTTATTTATTGAATCTACAGGGAATGTGCTTAATCCATTAGCCGCCAAAATTACATATTTACACGAGTCTTTGTCGCGTATCTGACACGCTCTGGCATGTTTTTTTGTCATTCATCGCGAATACGCGAGCGTGCTTTAACGCCGTCACGAATGACGCTTATGATTTATCCTTCTGACTAAACCAGATCTAATTCCACATATTCTCGTGCAACATATAAATCTTCTATATTGTTGTTACATATGTATGTTCAATAGCCGTGAATAGGTACAAAAGGCACTCCAAAAACAGGGTGGGCCAGAATTATGAGGACCATGACATTGTGTCGTTAAAAACACATAGTTGCTTGATGTGCTGACGGGCGGGTGTATTTCTATTTGAAGGTGGTTCAGTGGATGGTGATTGGTTAACTCACCCGTCAGCTAGGGGTGCTAGATTTCGCCAGAAGGAGTGAAAGCTCACCTCTTCAGTTCCTTCTCTTCTTCCCTTTGTCCGAAGCGAATAACCAATATGAAACAGTTGAATAAACAATACAGTGAATGAATAGCAAATTGAACAAAAAATCTTCTTCGAGTAAAAACTGAATCCAGTTGAGAATCTGAAGATAGTCAGTTAGCGACAGACGCCCTCACAAGAATCAAAAGGGAACCGCAACAAAGAATGCAAGACGACACCAGCCGAACTCCCCGATTTTCGAAATTTAGGCCGTTCGCGGGTTGCCGCGTATTACGGTAACTGATGTTCAAGCAGTTCGTGGCGAGACCCCCGCTGTCTTTATAATGTAGTTCTTCAAGCACTAACCTTAGTGCTTGAAGATACTCCCGGCCCTGCGGGCAAGTGCTTCCTCCAAGTTTCTGTTTCTTCTGTTTCCAATGGCCCTTCTCTTCTGGCCTACCACACAAGGCCTTATTGTGGCTCCCTTTTCCGCAGTATTGACAGGCTTCTCTTTCGTCGCACGTCCCAATATGGTTCTTGAGGCAGAACCAACATCCGTGTCCACGTTTCAGGATTTCTTTTCTTTCACTTACAATTCGTACATTCGGACAGTTATCGGGTTCGTGTTTCCCTTTGTCTTGACAGAAGACGCACATAAGGGGATTCCCATTATCATCGATTACTAGCGATTTTTCATCTGCATAGAATCTGTCGTTGCAGTCGTTGAAGGTTTCGAGTTTGTTCGATATCGCCAGAAGTACCATTTTATCGTCAACTCTCCTTGGGCTTTCTTGCCTGCTTCTTTTGGGCGGGGGCTCCCTTTCTTTACCGTGCTGGCTGATTCAGAATCTGAATCTGCGGTTTTCAAAGATTCTTGCCTTGTCCGTTTGTTTGACTCCTGTAGTGCCTGGATTTTTACGAGCTGCTGGATCTGTGCTTCTGTGATAATTTCCATTTTTCTTTCAATGGTATCTTTTATCCTTTCTATACCGTCCTGGAGGTCTTTTTCAGCTCTTTGAATTTGTTGCCAATGTCTTGTTTGATGTCCTCGACCTCCTTTTTTAGTGCTTCCAACTGGGCGTCGTATGTGGGTTGATTTTCCATTGTTTCTATGGCTCGTTCCATCGTGTTTCGTAGGTCGTCCAAATTCTTCTTTTCTTCTTCACTCCTCTCGGGTTGCTGGATGAAGCATTTAAATTCTTTTCCAATCGTATTCCTGAATTCATTGGCTAGTTGCGTGAGGTGCATGGCTTCGGAGTCTATGATAGCTATCGTAGTATCCAATGAAATGGGTCTATGGTCAGGTGGTCTGGGCTTGTGTTCGAAATTCCTTCTACTTTGAGGGGATGCGAATCCAGACTCATTAATAACTCGTAGACGTCCCACAGTATTCTTGCATCTCTTTTAAGATAATCGCACACACTAATTCTGTGGTCTGTCTTGTCCAGGCGCACGCTTCCAAAAAAAACTTCTTGTCGCAGTCCTCGCTTTCGATGTGTGTGGATCTGAGCGTCTTAAATCCTTGAGTTACGACCTCGCAATCTTTCAAAATCTTTCCAAGAAGAAAATAGTCGGCCTCAAGAGTATTCTGCAAATCTCTTTCTGTCAAAGCTCTTCTTGAGTTCCTGTATAATCTTTCCATGAATTCTCTGGCATCTTCGTTTGCCGTCATCCTGCAATGGTTATTTTTTCTTTTGATTATCTGGTTTTCTTCTATCTCTGTAATTATTACATTGATAAAAGACTCTTCTATGTTTTCTGAAAACTTTAGTTATTTTGTTGTCGTAGGTTGTAGCTGTGTGTGTTTTGTAGTTTTGTTTGAGTTGGGCTTGTTGGTGGACCTGCGTCTAGTTCCAACGGAACTAGATGGTTTATTGGTCTTCTTAGGGTCCTCCTTGCCGATGTTCTGACTTCTGCTTCCCGCGGTATTCCGTTGGTGAGTCTTGATAGCTTTTCTATTCTTCCCTTCCGAAAGACTTCTACTCTGCTTTTATCTCTTGTGGCCCTTATTCTTCTAAAACGGCCGATGCACCATGTGCTGACGGGCGGGTGTATTTCTATTTGAAGGTGGTTCAGTGGATGGTGATTGGTTAACTCACCCGTCAGCTAGGGGTGCTAGATTTCGCCAGAAGGAGTGAAAGCTCACCTCTTCAGTTCCTTCTCTTCTTCCCTTTGTCCGAAGCGAATAACCAATATGAAACAGTTGAATAAACAATACAGTGAATGAATAGCAAATTGAACAAAAAATCTTCTTCGAGTAAAAACTGAATCCAGTTGAGAGTCTGAAGATAGTCAGTTAGCAATTGTCCAGCAGTTTAAGAAAGACGAGGGGGAGAGTCTCGCCACTGCAAAGGGGGATTAGTAGAAGATTGGTCGAGAGAGGAATCGGTCGGCGTCGAAGCCAGCGACAGACGCCTTCACAGAATCAAAAGGGAACCGCAACAAAGAATGCAAGACGACACCAGCCGAACTCCCCGATTTTCGAAATTTAGGCCGTTCGCGGGTTGCCGCGTATTACGGTAACTGATGTTCAAGCAGTTCGTGGCGAGACCCCCGCTGTCTTTATAATGTAGTTCTTCAAGCACTAACCTTAGTGCTTGAAGATACTTGATGGGAAAAACAAACTTCAGGGGAGTGTTTGCAACTCTTATCTCAAAGTAAATCCAGAATAGAATTGAGATCTGCCACCTGCCGCGTTAACGCGAGCCTTCAGATGAAGGGGGATGGCGCGTGCGCTGACACGCAACTAAGGCGTGTCAAAATGTTTCCAGGCCCTCTGCTCTGCTTTCTTCAGGGGATCGAAGTTTTGTGGGGCATTTATTTGCACTTGCCTCCAGGGTGTAAAATACAGAAGTCTAGTGATATAAGATAAAAAGTTCCTACCTATGTTACAATTCTTCAAAAGCGAGGAACTCGAAAAATCGCTTTCTAGGGGATTTTCGCTCTATTCTTGGGTGCTTGGTCCTGTTAAAAACACAAGTGTTTTTTTCCAAAAAGATATAGTATTCAAAAAGCTTCTTATCCACTACAGATGTGGAGCTTTTAGAGTGTCTGGCTGGGTTTTTCACATCGAGATTTTTTCATTTTGGGAGTACGAAAGTCGACAAGGGAGAGAGCAAGGTTTCTGCATCTGATAATTGTCCTGGTGGTAACTGTAACTTTCGAGCCTCCGAATTTTCCATCTGTGGTGGATTCCGAACTCATTGAAGAGTTAAACTGTTGCTCATAAGAGCTTCCTGATTCGTTGCACTGTCGCTAGATGCAACGTGCCACAGCCCCTAGTGGGTTCAATTTGAGGACTGACGTAAGGTGATGCAGTTATTTCACTAGTTTCGAGAAGTGCGTGATATTTTCTTTCAGTAGGAAGAAGACATTGTACCCTTTCACATAGTGCACAGAAAAGGAGATGAAAATGTAGCGACTCGAAAAAAAAAAGTGGATATGACCTAGCGCGCACGCGGTCCTCATAATTCTGGACCACCCTGTAGTTGGGTGTGGGCGTTTGCAGAATGGAAGGAAACTATCGCCTGCTTTTTGCCTGAGCCCTTCTTTTCGCAATCATGTCATATGTATAGACTGCTAGGCATTCAAGTTTAGCAGTTGCGAGGAAATTTCTCATGGTGTCCAGACCCCAGTACATTTATTTCTTTCAGGTACGCAATCAAGTCGGCAATTATTCGATCGCTTCTCATTTGGACATCGATCCGGCTCAAATGCAGGACGCCGGTGAATACGAGTGTGTTGCTAACAACACCTACGGATTTCATTTGCAACATATCCGCGCTCAAATGCGTCTTTGATACCGTTATGATAAATCTTATCTCAGTGTGACCGTACTGTAATTATGACATTAATTGTTACGCTGATCGCAGGAGGGCTGAAGCCTTTGAGAGGTGCAGATAACTGATATGAAAAAGCCAGATCGATTAGAAATCGAGTGTGGAGTGGACAGTAGAAGATGCATCAGATGAAAAGAAAATCAAATTGAGAAACGACCAGAGACCAAAGAAATGGAAACTTCCATTCGGCTATGTTGGTTTTCCGCATTGCTGCGGTTTCTGATCGGCGTAGCCTCTTCATGCTAAACGCCTATCCCTGCTAACGGCTAGTAGAACATGGGAAGGAAGTGGGCATGGCCGCAGCGCAAGTTACTGAGTTATTTAGTCTGGCCCTTTAGGGTTGATACTCTTCGCTGCAAAAGCTCATTCGTTATACACCCCTAGAGTTGTCCCATACTGCCCGAGAGGGCCATTATAAACAAGACTGCTCGAATTCCAAAGCCCTTCACAGAGCTAGTGTTATCTAACTGCGTGATCCGTTCTAGATGTGTCCCTCAACTGACGTGCAGGAAGGCACCAAGCTTAAAGGAATCTTCCGCGGAAAGTTCGCCTCATTACCTAGAAAACGAATACGCTCATGAGCTTAGCCACGAACATAAGCGTTAGTTTCGATAATACTAATCCTACACACAAGACAAAATGATCACTCTTTCCGTGGAAGATTCCTTTAAGGTATCGTTTTCTGTGGTAATGAGGGCGGAGCTTTTCCGTGGAGGATTCCTTTAAAATTTTGAAATTGTTCTCCTGTACTATCACGAAAGCTGCTTTAGAGAGAACAGCGAGGCATTTAGTTAAGGAAAACCAGAATCTTAGGGTCAGAAAAGGAATACTCAGCTCATCTCAGTATTATAACTAGAGCTCTGTCACCAACACTTGGGCGTTATCGTTGTGCATTTTAAAATGAAGGTGTTTAGTTGATTAAATACTATCACCGAAAGCAATTGACCCATCTGGATTTGTGTAGGCATAATATAGAATGTATACGGCTAAGTTTACATTACAAAAAGTATCATACGATCGATATGATTAGCCCATCCTCAAGTGACTGGTTTCGTTTATTGCCTATTTTCCTATTCGCAGCAGCTAAAGAAGAAAAAATGCATGGTGTAATTTAATTAAATCTCTTCTTCAACAAAAAAAAAACGATCTCCATTGAAATGAAGTGATAAGAATGAAGGGAAAAGCATTCTGCGTTGATCAGTTCTTTATTCTGTGATGGCTTCTACCTCCATTGAGAATCGTAGCGGCATTTTGAATGCGGCCGGCTCCACATGGTGTGTGCGGACCACACGAGCTGCATGTCAAGGTATCAGGAGGTGTGTTATGCAATACTGACTGCGGAGATGGAGAGCTAGTTTGCGTCTGAAGGGTGCACGATCACCGATTTGCTCTCTGACCCACGATGTGGTAGGCGAGCGCTTTTGGCACTAAGGCACTTCCGCCATTTGAGTGATACTATAAGACCGGGAATCAGATCTTATTCTGTTGATTGGCTTCTTACTCCATTGAGCACTACGTAGCCGGCATTGTGATAACGGGACTGTCATGGTGTGTGACTGGGCGGAAGTGGTGTGCAGTGACAAGTGGCGCGCTCACCACGCGAGCGGTCCGGGGATCAAATCCTGGGTCGTGAGTCGCCCGGGCCAACCAAGCCTTCCATCCCTCCGGGGTCGGTTAATTGGTACCAGACTTGTCTGGGAGGATAAAAACACTGACTTGTACATCGGCTGGCCCCGCAAGTCATTGTATAGGCCACATCGCATTCAAACGCCACTACGAATGTACAAATGGAAGTAGAATGCGTGCCGCATCCCAAAAGGGATTGATCAACGGCAAATGCTTTATCCTTTTCCTTTAATTAGAAAATCATAATGAGATGCTATTTCGACCGTCGAGTTTGCTGTATTAGCAGCTCCTTAAATTAGCTAAACAATCGTGGTAACGGTGAGCCTTTTTGAGGGGGCGTCCAGAGGTGTTCACTTGGTCACGGATCGAATTACCCGACCGCTGCTTGTTGCATTTCCTCTTTCTTCGGATGTCCATTGTCGGCTCTGAGCTATGTTTGGCCTATTCTTTCGAAAACACTCCCAGAATACGAGTCATATTGTTGATTCCTAATTATTTGATATGACCTACTAACTTATTACAAATGAATAACCTTAGCATGAACCATATTTCCTTTTCAAGCTATCGAAATCATTAATTTGGAGAATCATGTTAGATGACCGTTTTTAAGCATCGTTTGCAGAGCAAAGTTGAAAAAAACTGTTCCACCCCATTGAAACTGGGTGATTACGCCGTGCTTTCGAATGTCGTCCAGAAACGTTGTTCTCTTGGAACATGAGTTAGACTAAACAACAACGATTAGTAGCCCTTGCTCGAGTGAGCTTTACAGTAATCAAAATGAAGTTGGTGTGGCTAGAGCGATCTCAAAGGATTGTGAAAATTAGCGGTTCCTTTCCCGTGCTTCACTCCAGGCGTAAATGGTGAAGCCAGACACTGATGGTGAGTCACGTACAATTTCCGTCAACAAGGCCAGGGTTTTCTAAATAAAATTAGCGGTTTCAGAATGAAAATTAAGGCCCGCAAAATAAAACGCGGATTATGACCCAAAACTTCACGTCTTGATTGCTAATCGATCTAGGGACGACGGCGCAGCGGTCGAAGTGCACGGAACCTTTTTCCGAAATCCGAAACAATCCAGAATTCCAGTCCTTCGGACTGCTTCGTGGACAACGAGTTCGTGGGATAGGATAGCAACAGTGGGTTGCTCATTCGCTGGCACCTAGAAACACTCAACTGTGACATATGTAGTGTCGCTTTTTTCGGAGAATTTTTTCTTCTGGTTTCAATATTTTTGCAGCATTTATCTACCGTTCAAGTGAGCATTGTTGTGCTGAACCTGTACTTTATTTCTAGACTTGATGAAAATCTATTGTATTTCGAGCTTGCAAAACGGAAGGTTCAATCGATGAAAAGTAGCCAAAGCGCCGACCACTTCAAACTTGGTTTTCCATTACAAGGAGTCAATCGCTGATTTGCTTCTTATTATTCAAGATCTCTTAATACTCCACTAATAAGTCGTACAACGAATAGTTGCTCTCTGTACATAATGAGTTTGCCCGCAGTATTCGATGGTTGACCGCCGTGTGAACGTATGTAGAATAGAAAGTTTCCACCCTTGTTGAAAAACTGGTGACACGTTCAGAAGATCTGAATAAAGGATAAAGGATAAAGCATTTGCCGTTGATCAATCCCTTTTTGGGATGCGGCACGCATTCTACTTCCATTTGTACATTCGTAGTGGCGTTTGAATGCGATGTGGCCTATACAATGACTTGCGGGGGCCAGCCGATGTACAAGTCAGTGTTTTTATCCTCCCAGACAAGTCTGGTACCAATTAACCGACCCCAGGAAGCCTTCCATGGCCCGGGCGACTCACGACCAGGATTGGGGGATTTGATCCCTGGACCGCTCGCGTGGTGCCACTTGCCACTACACCACTTCCGTCCATTAGCTTTCAATATCTGGTCACGAG